CGGAGACTGCTTTATTTCCAGATTTAACTCAGCATAATGTGATGGGCCCCAGCTCTGGAGTTAGGTGTCCTATTTACAAAGCATGCCTTGGTTTAATGAATTTGTGTTCAACTCCCTCTCTAGGCAATACTCCATGCTGCATAAAGCATGGTACACAAAGATATCTAAGAAGTATCTTCAGCGATCCTGAAGAAGACACTTAGGAAAGAGTAGACAAAATAGAGAAGAGAGGGAGTCATGAAATGGGATTGGTGAGGCTGGGCCATTGTTGGTCTTAGGGATAAGGCACAAACTTCCATTGAGCACCTATCTTACGCCAGGTACTCAGTATGTATGTTCATCTTCATGTCCGCAGCACCCAGATTAGGTGGATGGCATGACCCACACTTTACAAATCAGAAAGCGAAAATAATAGAAATTCAGTCACTCCCTCAATGTCATTCAGCCAACTGTATCCACCTAATGGTATGCATAGTGGCTAAGGCACTTGCCTGCTAACCAGAAGGCGGTTCAAACCCACCAGCCACTCCGCAGATGGAAGATTGGACAATCTACTTCCATAAAGATTTACTGCCTCGGAAACCCAAGGGGGTTGCTGTGAGTTGGAATCAACTCAATGGCAGTGAGTTTGGTTTTTTTTTTTTTTTTGGAATGATATCCACACATGTGCACTCAATGTATCATTTGAATGTTAAGTGAAACAGGGAAGCAATTTTCAGCATTGCATCAAAAGCCTCAAAAATGTTTATGGGCAAAGGTGTGTGTGTGTGTGTGTGTGTGTGCACGTGAGCACACACGTGAATGCATGTTGGTAACTGCAGCCTCATTAACAAAAGTCAAGCTTTTGAAGAGAAATCAAGTATCTAAATGGGAAATAGTTGAATAAATTATGATAGTGTACTCCAGCCATTATCAACAGTATTTTCAAAGAGTTTTCATGACATAACAAATTGTCCACAATACCATACAGAAGTTGATACATACAGTATGGTTTCAGCCATGTTTTATGAAAGTATATGAAGAGTTACTAAAATAAAATACATCATATTTGTAAATTGTGTTTATCTCTGAGCAACAGAAGACTAGATGCTTTTATTATCTATTCTATGTTGTTGTTTGGTGCCATTGAGTTGATACTCAACTCATATCAATCCAATGTGACAGAGTAGAACTGCCTCATAGGGTTTCCTAAGCTGTAATCTTTATGGAAACAGATTGCTAGGTCTTTTCTCCCAAGGAGCTGCTGGGTGGATGCAAACTCTCAACCTTTCAGTTAGCAGCTGATTGCTTAACAGTGCACCACTAGGGGACCATTGCCTTTTTATAGCTTTGTGTATTCTAAATTTTCTACACTAACTTATATTGGAATGGATTATTTTCTGTTTTGTGCTGTGAGTTTAAGGAATGCAGTAGCGTAGTGCCTAAGCCACTTGACTGCTAACCAAAAGGCTGGCAGTTCACACCAGCCACTCCTCGGAAGGAATGTTGGGCATCTACTTCTGTAGTGATACTGCCTCAGAGGGGTTGCTATGAGTTGGGTCCGACTTGATGGCACATAACAACAACAACAACAGTAGGAATTACACTGAAGTCTTTATACGGTTAATGTAGACTCTGTCATTAATCTGAAAATAAGAAAATGCTCAGGGAGAACCAAATATGGCACAATGAGTAAGAGAACTGGCTCTGAATCTGGACTTCCTAGCTTAAAAGCTAGCTCTTCTTGCTGAGAAATTATTTCTACTGGTGGGAAAAAGAAGTAAGGAAAGTGTTGTCCATGACTACACTTGAGTAAGCACCCAAAAATAATAGACAGTAAAGAGTTGAAAGGAATGAGAGAATAGAATTGACCTTAGAAGCTTGATGGTGTAGTGCCTAAGGCATTTGACTGCAAACCAGAAGGCTGGCAGTTCAAACCCAGGAGGGGTTGCTATGATTTGGGATTGACTTGACAGCAGTGAATTTGGTTTTTATGGTATAGAAGCTTGATAAAGGTGATAGGACTTAACTGGGCCTTGAAATATGGGCAGAAATTAAGCCAGGAGAGCTCATTTCAACTAAGGCAATGTGATTTACTTAAATCCATCATCATGACTGAAAATAACTGAAAGTGGATTTCCTATTGATGGTCAGCAGTATCATCTTTGAGTAGTGAAAACAACATTTGATTTCCTCTTTTAGTTATACAACTCTTTATGGAAACAGATTGCCAGGTCTTTTCTGGTAATTGTTACCTGACAATTTTGTATAACCAAAAGCAACCAAAGCCACTGCCATTGAGTCGGATCCTACTCATAGCGACCCCTCCTTGGGTTCCCGAGGCAGTATCACTACAGAAGTAGATTGCCCAGCCTTCCTTCTGAGGAGTGGCTGGTGGATTTGAACTGCTAGCCTTCTGGTTAGCAGTCAAATGCCTTAGGCACTATGCCACCAGAGCTATTGTATACAAGATCATTTTACAGAAATCATGACAAGAAAGCATGAGAGTCAATTCTGGTGAATAAAGACAGGTTCTAGTTAACCTGTTGTTGTTGTGGGCCACCAAGTTGATTCCAACTCCTAGTAACCCTCTCTACAACAGAACAAAAGACCACCTGGTCCTGTGCCAGCCTCACAATCATTGCTATGTTTGAGCTTATTGTTGCAGTCACCGTATCAATCCATATCATGGAAGGTCTTCCTCTTTTTCTCTGACCCTCAGCTTTACCAAGCAGGGTACCCATCTCCAGGGATTGGTCCCTCCTGATCACATGTCCAAAGTACAGGAGATGAAGTCTTGCCATCCTTTCCTCTAAGGAGCATTCTGGTTGTACTTCATCCAAGACAGATTTGATCATTCTTCTGGAAGTCCATGGTATATTCACTATTCTTAATGAACCCTATAGTTATGTACTCTCTGAACTTTACAGTATCTATTTCTAAAATCCCTGTGATATAATACAGTTACTCCTGGCTGTGAAGTTGCTGCCCTATCTTTTCTCTGTCCCCTGTCAGCTAATCTGTGAGTACGTGGAAAGAAGCAAGAAAGGGAAGAATTTCTTTGTCCTCCTGACACCCCTTGTACCTTCCAGTCCCTCTTCCAACTTCCCATCCCATCACATTGGCCTCCTCTTTCTTGAGAGCCCTTGACTTGCAGTGCAGCATAGGCAATAATTCTTTATTTACCAAGAGTAACACTTTGAGGCATTACCTTGGGAAATAACATGTCAAAGCCTCTATGCCCATGGCTCTGTCACAGTGACTGCTTTCCATGACCCACACCATTTTTGTGAAGAGGAAGATACAAACTAGGTTCCAGGGGAGCTGTGTCAGTTCCCTAGTGCTGTGATCGTGCGTAAGACATTTAACTTCTCCTTGTCTCACTCTTCTCAGTATTATTTTTGTATCAACCAAATGAAATATGTGTGAAGATGTTATTCAGATGTTAGACAACACTGAGTCTGATGTGTGTGAAAGCAAGGGAGATTGAAATTTCTCCTCCTAAATCTGTTCTAAAGACCTAAACCTTCCAAACCAAACCTTCAATTCAACTAGCTTTCTCCAGAGCCTCATCTACTCTGGTCTTTATTAATCTGAGCTGATTTATCCTTGGCTCATGCAGTGTTTGATGCAAATGAGTAACACTAATTTGATCCTCAGTTCTGGGCATTGTTTCATTTCTGTTGTACATGAGTTGGAATCAACTCATAGGCACCTAATGACAACAGCAATTTAACCCATTTGTTGTTGAAGCCCTTGAAAACCTCCCCTAAAGAAAAAAGAATAGAAAACAGTGTGCTAAGCTCTTTTCTCTTGGCCAGGCACTTTTTTTTTTCACCTGAGATTTTTTTCCACAAACCACAGAAGGTTCCCACAGAGAAGAAATTAGGAAGCCTCTGAAGCTGAGACCAATGGAAATTACATTTTTATTAAAAGCTGTCTGTGGCTAGATAAATCCATCCTGGTACAAAGTTAAATGATGTAATAAACTTATTCAAAGACAAAAAGCCATTACATAAAATGCCATTAAATATCTTTCACTCAATGTTAACAAAACACAGCTATAAATTTTCTTGGTTGTCATTTGAGAAGTTGCGTGTTCTCAGCAGCTAATGCGTCTGCCAGTTCTTCACTGGTGAATTCTGTTTCCCAGTCTTGAGAAATAGGATGCCAGGCATGCAGGACTCTTTGAGATGTGATGGTTTTTCAACGTACTTGTTATCATCAGTCCTGAATTTGAAAAGAACTGAGTTTCTTTGGAGGCTGATTTCTGTTACTGTTTTTACCTGCTGCTTCTGTGCAGAATGAAGAGTTGTTTTTTACTGAGGCCCCATACTTCATATGCTAGAAATCAGAAGTAAGGAGGCCCAAACCACTGTGCCATGGCACAGGATTCAAGGCTGGTAGCTGATGCATTTATTCTGAACTTTCAGACAAATTCACAGCTTCCTACATGAAGCCATATATTTGGATTGTTGCTTATTGCTGGGTATAAGGGTAAAATGGAATGGAAGACATGGAAAGAATACAGAGCATTATATCTGGAAAAGTTCCACGGCCCTACTTTTTCCATTGTTATTGACCTAAACCCCAGAGCAAAAGGAAATGAACCCAAGATCCAGATATGACTCCTTGCAGCTGCCTAATTCAAGACCTTGCCAGGATTCCCAATTGCCTCTGCATGCCAAGTCCTAAAGCCAGGTGGCCCCCTTTCTCTTGAGCCTCACCAGATAGGACACTAGCAGATTGAAACTGAGCAATGTGTCAGTGAGTGTGAGAGTGAGAGAGTGAAAGTGTGAGAGAAGCATTCAACATTTGCCCAGGTCCTGCGGTCAATGGATTTTCTCTGTACGAGTGAGTCAGGCCAAATTAAAAGAAAAGTTAACTTGCTTCCTAGACTTGAGATACCTTTCTGGAGTGTGACCTGCATTGCACTTAGAGAGTGCTCCCTGCCAGCAGGGGTCCTGGTCACTCTTGGTCAGCTGAACCTGCTCTTGATGTGCTTGCCCTCCTTTTTTCAGGAAACAGCATCCTCCATTCAGCTGCTGACAGTGTAACCAGTGCAGTACAGAAGGCGAGCCAGGCCTTGAATGAGCGTGGGGAGCGGTTAGGCCGAGCAGAGGAGAAGACAGAAGACATGAAGAATAGTGCTCAGCAGTTTGCGGAAACTGCACACAAGGTAAGTGCAGCAGATGGGCAGGAGTCTCAGCTCTGGGTTGCTGGGGAGTTATGGTGCCAAGAAAGTTTCTATTAGTATGTTTCCCATGAGGTAGATGCAAAATCAAACTTTTTTTTTTTAACCTAATTCTTATCATCTACCATTTAGTAGTAAGCACCTGAATCAAGAAAGATTTCTTCTTATACCTGTTTCTTTGGTTCTCTCCTTTTGTATGCCCTTATCCTTGTCTCTGATTTTGGATCTTTGGGAAGTACACAACATCTTTATGTTCCTGACTAGATGTTCAGGGCTTAAGTTTCAGGGAACTGGATGAGGAAAAAAGGAAAACAAATTAGATCTCAGAAGATCCTTCTTCCCTTGGCTAACACTTGAAAGAATCCATAGAAGACTTCCAGCTGCCTCATGCTTACTTTTCCTTACTGTCTCTTTCCTGTCCTGAGCTAGCATCCTGTGTTCTTATCTCTTCACTGTATGCAAAGCAACCTCTTGTCCCGGGGCATAAAGCATCTCATTGATAGTTTCCCCTCTGAGACAATTATTATTTCAGGGCCTTGATTCTGGAACTCCAAATCTGATGTAGCTGTAGCTGCAAGATTCCCTTCTGCCTGGGAATTCAAAAGCTGACATTTCATCATGGCTTTGGGTGCACACAAGCACATTCGCATAATCACCAGGAACAGTGCCTTTCAGGGTGGGAAAGGGGAGTTTTTATTGGCAGTCAGCACTCTAAGGCAATGACAAACCAAAGGAAAGAGAGAACCAGTTGGTCAGGACATACAGAGGATTTATTACCATTCTTGTGCTTTAGATCAAAGGGCAGTTCTCTTCTGGCTAGCAATTTGAATTTAGGTTTCCAGAAACAACATCAGCTGGTGACTTGTGTTGGCATCTCAGAGTCATGATCTGGACTTTTAGATATGCTTCTAAGGTGACCTTTAGGGGAAAAAAAGTTAATTTGCTTCAATAGAAAACCCAGCTTCTGCTGAGGACACAAGAATGGAGAACCAAAAAGTAATAAAGGAGCTCTGGTAGCATAGTGCCTAAGGCTCTTGACTGCTAACCACAAGGCTGGCGGTTCAAACCTACCAGCCACTCCTCGGAAGGAAGGTTGGGCAATCTACTTCTGTAGTGATACTGCCTCAGAAACCCAAGGAGGGGTCTCTATGAGTCGGATCCAACTCGATGGCACATAACAACAACAACAGCAAAAAGTAATAAAAATACCCTCTCTGAGCTAAGATGGCCCTTCCAGAGCTGTCTCTCGGAGGCTCACGCTCACGCCCAACTGGGAGTCAGTTTCCCAGTGGATGTTTCTCAGCTTCCCTTCCTGCAGTACTCTTGCACAGATCTATTTGGGCATATCACTGATTCTCTATCCTGGTGGGGCTGCCTATGGGGTCTGTCTAGAGGATCTTGAGGAGAACAACCAGAGCCATTTGAAAATGCAGTCAGTGCTGCTGGAATCCAAAGCCTCACATTACTGAGGTGTTGCAAAGGGAGTTAAGCTTGGATTTAAGTTTTCCATCCTCCTTTCCTCTCTTCTCCTGCTATTATGATACAGAAATAACAATTAAAAAAAAAAAAAAAAACTCACTGCCATAGAGTGAGTTCAACTCATAGTGACCCTGCCTTGGGTTTCCAGGGCAGTATCTCTATGGAAGTAGGTTGCACAATCGTCCTTCTGAGGAGTGGCTAGTGGGTGTGAACCACCAACCTTCTGGTTAGCAGTTAAATGTCTTAGGCATTTCCAAAAAGGGCAAGGAGGCCACATATTCTGACCTTCTAGAATCCCACAAGAGGAAGGCAGAATCACCATCAATAGCCCAAGGCCTATTACTGCGAGGCCAGACTTGCTGCCTCCCTCCAGCCCTTTCACCAGCCCTTCCTCCCAAAGCACCCACCACCTCTCTCCTGGGTTCAATAATTCACTGCAGTGGCCACATAGAACTCACAGATTATGGGGTTTATTAGGGGAGCACCAGGCTACAATTCGAGTTCAGGAAAAATGCTCAGTCTCTCTCCCTAGCCCGCTGTCTCTCAGCCAAGTCTCTCACAGTCTCCCCCAGCAGTGCATGTCCCTCGGTATCTTACTCAGCAATGTGTGTCTCTGGCGTCTCTTTCCCAGCAGTACATGTCTCTTTCGGCAGCACATCTTCCTCAACCAGCAGTCAGAGAGAGTTCTGCCTCTAGGAGGCCTCCTTTTGAGCTTGGCAGAGTGGCCAAACCAACCAATCATAACAACAGAATTGTAAGCACCTGAGAGTGAACCGCCCATAACATTGTGTTGTGCCACGCCCAACAGAAATAACCCAGGTGGATAACATTTACAACCAGGAGCTCCTCAGTTGCTCATAGCAAATCCCACCTTGGAGTTTACAAAGACTTATGGGTAGAAAAGCCACACTAAGTAATTTACTACACCACAGCACTATTTCACCAGAGTTCCTGATACAGAAATACTATGATTCTAGCTGCAACTTAAATTGTAACAGCAGCAACTTAAATGATTTAAATGGGATAACATTGGAAATCTGGGGAAACATTTAACTTGTTGATTTGAGAAAGAGAAGGCTAAAAGGAATACTTTATTATTGTCTCCAAGTCTGAGGAGAGTGAGGGTACAGACAATTATCTTTCATATCTTACCACCTAGACTAAAACAATAAATAGTGCACTGGTAAAATTCTGCTAAAACAAGAGTTTAGGATACTGTGGTAGTTAGTTTGTGTGTCACCTTGGCTGTGCCTGGTTGAGTGGCTGGGCAGCTGATGATAGTTATTCCCCATGATGAGACTGGCAATCAACTCCATGGTGGAATCTACTGTGAGCAGCTGAGTAGCTGCTTTAAGGATATAGTCTGCTTCCCATATATCAGCAGCAGCTTTCAGAATGGTCTTTAGCTTATGGCACACTTGCATCCTGCATGTAGCTGTGTCATTCAGCAGCCCTGCCATGCTCTGCCGATCTTGGGACTTTAAATCGACTTGACTTAATGTCCTGCTGTGTGGTTTGGTAACATACGGACTGTGCCTTTTTACCTGTCAACTTTGGGCTTGTCAGCCTCAACAGCCAGCAGCTGTCTGTGTGAAGAAAAGCCTCCAGCTTCAGTGGACTGGGAACAAGAGGCAGACCTGAAGCCCAAGATTGATGGGCTTTCATCCAGCCCCTAGAGCCTGGCACTTTGAACTTGCACTTAAAACCTCCAAACTGTAAGAGAATAGTTTGTTCAAGCTATCCCATTTGTGGTGTTTTCTGATAGAGCAGCACAGAGGTAACCAACAAAGATAATGATTAAACCATGGACCAGGAAGATTGTGAAATACCAAGGAAGATTGTGAAATAACTCTTCCTATAAGTGGAGAAAACAATACTTGGAGCTCATCCATGTAGACCTCCCTCTCAGAGGGAGTTGTATGAACAATGAGTTAAATAACCTAACCAGATGGTCAAAATTTTTGGCATGGCAGCCCTGTTTCCCTGATACTGTGGCCAAGTTTGTTAGGCAGTTGGGACGACAATATGATATAGTAGTTAATATTCCTGTGTTTGAATCCAGCATGTCATTTACAAACTCAGTGACCTTGAACAACTGTTTAACTTCTCTAAGCCCCACTTTCCTCATCAGTAAAATAGTGCTAATTAATAGTGCCTACCTCCTAGGATGTTCAAAGAATTGAATGAGCTCAAACTTATAAAGCTATTGACATAGTACCTGGCACATCTAAATCTAAATTAGTATTAGATATAATTGTTAGGGAGTCCCTGGGTGGTACAAACACTTAATGTGTTGGCTGCTAACTGAAAGATTGGAATTTTGAGTCCATCCAGAGGTGCCTTGGAAAAAAGGCACAGTGATCTACTACAAAAAATCAGCCATGGAAAACCCTATGGAGCAGTCCCACTTTGACATACAGGGGGTCACTATGAGTCAGAAATGACTTGACAGCAACTGGCAATGGTAATTTCCATAAAGATAGTTTGTGCTGAATATGCTGCATTCAGTCACATAATGAGCACTGTAGGGGGTTTGAAGAAATGTTACTGGTAAATAAGCATTTCTAGTACAGGGATAAGGAAGGAATGGAGGGAAAGGTTTTGTGCCTTCCACATTCAAAGGGAAAGTAGAGTAGAAGGTCCTCTGCTAAATGCTGATGCTACCTAAATACAGAGCAGCCCTGAAATACAGCCACTGGCCTGCCAAAACAGAGAGTGACTAGGCCACCAGAGGCCAAGGGGCTTCTGGCTTTGGCCCATGGGAGAATCCACACCAGCCAGTTGTCTGCTTTCAGTGGAGATGGCTGTGGTGGGGATAGTTTATGTTTGCTTTGGTTTCCCCTTCTATAGGTGTTCTTGGGGGGTGGGGGAGTTAGAGGCTGATAACATCTGTTAGTGTATATGACAGAGTGTGAGAGAGACAGAGACCATGTTATAGCCAGGCTTGCAGTTTGTTAAAACTGGGATGTATGCTTATGAATCATCCCAGCACTGGCAATATTCCTAATATGTAGATTGAATGCTTTAAATAAGATGTGGCTATGTTCCCAGGGACTGGAACTCCTGATTTGGACCCACTAGAGGAGATTGACCATGAAGCTGTCATTTCACTGCCCTCACCCTGGCCAGGCCTGCTGCCAAACATGGCTCTGTTGACTCATAAGAGTGGGCTGTGTATAGAAAAAGAGAAGCAGTATATGTGGTAGAGTTCCAAGCAGAAGGGGACACTTCCAAGTGACAATTCATTGGTGCTCCCTAGGAGAATGAGGATACCCAACCCCAGGTGGAGAGAAAGCAGGGCACACCTTTAGACTGCAATAGACAAGGAACTTTGCCTTCCAACTTTGTCTAGGACTCTCAGAATGTCCCAGGTATATTAGCAAATGGATCATTTATGCATGACCCTGACATCAAGATACCTGGATGGTTGTCTCCCATAAAGCAAATGGAAAATGATCCTTCTCCCCTCTACTCAGTGTCCCTCACCCAGCTCCATTTAGCCCAGC